AGGGAAAGAACAAAGAAAATGTCTGAATACAGCCAAAATTCAGACCAAGAGGTCTACTCTGAAGACATCGATGAAGATGAAATCTTAGCAAACTTATCTCCCGAAGAGCTGAGGGAGCTACAGAGTGAAATGGAAGTCATGGCTCCGGACCCACAAGTGCCGGTGGGAATGATACAGAAAGACCAGACCGAGAAACCTCCAACGGGGAGCTTTGACCACAGGTCTCTCGTTGATTATTTGTACTGGCAGAAAGCATCGAAACGTATGCTGGACGATGAGAGAGCTTCGGTCACCCTCTTGGCGTCTGAGGTAATAAGTGGGAATTGCAAGCGTTCGTTATGCCTCTGCGATGGTGTTTTTACTGTAGCAGCGCATTGCAAAGATGGGTGTTCAGGGCTTTCATCTTCCTTTTTACCAGCTCCTTTACACAAATCAAAGCACAACGTATGGATTTAGGGGTCTGTCAAAAGTCTCAATGATGCTAGAATCTAATGGTGGAATTTACCGCAGGGTTCGTATGACTATTTTTGTCTTAAATGTTGAGCTGCCATTTCAAATATAGGTGGGGGGTGGGAGGGGGTGTCTGGACTAGATGATCCCCTTCAGGTCCCTTCCAGCCGTAGTTTTCTGTGATTGTGACCTTTTTGGTTTCACGGGAGTGAAAAATCACCACGTCAGAGCCCCTCAGAAAATGTAACTCAAGCTTTGTGCTTTCCAGGACAAACATTTAATAACCTGCGTTCTAGTACCCTGACCACAATTTAAAAGAATTTATAAAAGTAATGAACTGCAAAAGAATAAATAGCACGCTCAAAAATGTCTGTCTTTTGGAGTCTTGAGTAACGCTCGCTAATGAGTGACTCCCAGATCTAACGAGCAAAATCATTGTATAGATCAACATTATATAGATTGTATTGTATAGATGATTGGATAGATCAACAAAGTTAATTGTATAGATCAACAAAGTGAATTGACCCACACTCATTTACCCAGTTCAGGGTGTAGCCAGGTCTTTCTACACAGACCTTAATTTAGCAGTACAACCCTATTCAACATAGTACTGAAGCCCCTTTTCAATACAGGGCTTATGCTGGCCAAAGCCCCATAGGGTAGACCCGAATAGCACAGGAGTTGTGCCTGAGTAAATACATGAGGACTGAGACTTGCCCAAGTTTTAAAGGATGGGGCACGTGTCTTATGAGGAAGAACTAAGGGAACTGGGCTTATTTAGTTTAAAGAAGAGGAGACTGAGAGGGAATTTGTACAGCAGCTTTCAACTACCTGAAAAGGGGTTCAAAAGAGGATGGAGCTGGGTTGTTTTCGGTGGTGACAGATGACAGAACAAGGAGCAATGGGCTCAAGTTGCAGCAAGGGAAGTTTAGGTTAGAAATTAGGAAGAATTTAATCATGAGGAAGGTAGTAAAGCAGCGGAACAAGTTACTCAGAGCCGTGGTGGACTCTCCATCCTTGGAGGTTTTCAAAACCCAGCTAGACACAGCTTTGGCTGGGATGATCTAGTTAGGGCTGGTCCTGCTTTGAGTGGGGGGTTGGACTAGATGTGACCTCCTGAGGTCTCTTGCAACCCTAACTTCCTACGATTCATAGGTCACTGTTATTTTTCAACATCGGTCTGGCCATCTGTGCTGTGGTTATATTCTGGTAGGCAGCAGTGCAGTACATCCCTGAATTTCAGTGACATTTTAGTGACCAGGCAACTCTAGGGATGAAAGCAGCAGTGTTTCTTGTCCATTGGCTTCTAACAAGATCATATAATAAAGTTCATGCTTCCCTCGTTTACTTTGGAAATTTAAAGGCCGGGGGGGGTTTCTTTAGCTTCGTGGTAAAACAAGGTAGAAATGGGCCTGACTGGCAAGGCATGGATCTGGATTTCAACTCTCTCAGATTTTGGAGCAGTTTCTTTTGTTCCTAATTCTATTTCAAGGTAATTCCCATTCACTCACTGAGGTATTACATTATACGGCAAAACGATTTAAATCAAGTTCAGCATCCTTTACTTCATTCATAGATTTTAAGGGCGCGACTGACCATTGTGGCGGTTCTGCTCCTACATAAGCCAGGCCATAGGACTTCCCTGAATTCACTCCTGTTTGAACTGGGGTGTTACTCTTAGAGAAACAGCTAATCTTTATAAATGATCAGTAATAGAGACTTCACAACACTCATTGGTAAGTCGCCCCAATAGCTATCTACCGTCACTGTTACCAATGGACACCTTATTTCTAATCTGATTTTTTTTTCCGCCTCCCCTCCTATTCTTGTTGTTGTTGTTGTTATTGTTGCTTCACAACTTGACAGATAGCAACCTCTGCTGTTGCAAACGAGAAATGCAGTTATGCAGCACTCAAGCCTTGGTCCAGATTTTGAGAGTGCAAAATCCCCACCTAAATCACACCCCTTATTCCGGTTCCCTTGAAGAGCCTGATTCTTAACAATACATCAACTCTGGAGGCACTACATGGGAATCCCTGCTATTGAATACAGACATCATAGTGAGGTATCCAGGTTGTAAACGTATTGGTCTAGAGGCAAAAGGAATCAAACCTCGTGGCAGAGGTGATACCTTGTATTAGACCAACTAGATATTTGCACCAAAAAAAAATATTTATTTGCAAGCTTTTGGGCACAATGGTCATAAGCTGATGGAGAATAGGTTTAGGTTGGAGATCAGAAGGCAATATTTTACAGTTAGGGTGGCCAAAATCTAGAACCAACTTCCCAGGGAAATGGTCCTCGCCCCTACCTTGGGCAAATTCAAGAGGCGGTTGGATGATCACCTGTCTGGGGTCTTGTGAACCCAGCATTCAATCCTGCCTGTGGCAGGGGGTCAGGCTACATGATCTGTTCAGGTCCCTCCTGACCCTAGCTACTATGAAACACAAAGACCCTTCATCCAGCATAGGAGATTGCAAGGATTGTAAAAGTTTTCCTAGGTAGAAATGAAAATTCATCTTGGCGAGTTATTCTGCTCAGCTGCAGCCTGGCATCAAGCTGCCGACCAAGTGCAATGGATGATGAGTGGTAAAATCTCCTCCTTGCCTTCCACAAAGAGGAATTAAAAAAGGAAAATGCAAAATGAGGCTTTAGAGGAAGTGATGATTTGTGCTCTTGAAACATATTCTTACTACTGCTGGTAAAAGCAGTCTTTTACAGCACACCACAGCATCAAGCGGTGCTCAGAGGCCACCTTCCCACCTCAAATGATCAGTAATATTCATCTGTGTCTTCAGTAGAGCCCTTTCTTTTCAACAGCTTCCCCCACTCTGAAGGCTTGCTGTCTTGGGTGGAGCAATTGGTGCCCAGTATTATGCCGTCTCCTCTTCAGTCTTCATTAGGCCACGCCATGGAGCTGATAGCTAAATATTTGCTTCCACTTTTTGTCGCATGAAAACTATGAGAATGGCAGAACATGCGCTCGCACAGTACAGAAAACTGGAGCATAGTTGTAAGCGAGTTAATAGACTTTGAATATCTAGGATCTGCAAGGTATCACTAAGCATGTATGTTTGTAACTGTTGGTGCCCCTGGGCATATATAGACATTTCTGTACATACAGAAGTTTCTGTATCATACGACTGAGGGTAAGGAATCATGTTATACTCATGCTGGATCTATAACCTGTCAGCAATTTATTGTTAAATATTCTAATATGAAACTGGAAAAAAATATTGATACATTAAACCCATCTGCTTATATTTTATTTTAGTGTATAATTATTGTAACAAAGCCATTTAAAATTATTTCAACAATTCATATTTTGTCTTCCTTAGCGAAACACTGCAGACAAATTTGAAGAAAATACTGATGATGCAGAGGATATCACTAAGGAGGAATTGCCAGGAGATGCTACAGAAGCAGATGGAAGAGAAAGATATTACAGAAATGAGCAACTAGGAAAGTTTTATTCAGCAAAGCAATCAGGAGAAACAAATGAAGACAGAAACAATGAGGAGACAGAACAAGAGGAGGAGGAGGAAGAGGAAGAGGAGGAGGAGGAGGAGGAGGAAGGGGAAGAGGAGGAGGAGGAGGAGGAGGAGGAGGAGGAGGATGAAGAAGAATCAGGAACGAAGGAGCTACATGGAGATGAAAATAGCAATAGTGACCAGATGACAGAGAAAAAAACAGGTACAGACTCAGGGGAAACTTCAGAGAAGCAAGAAGACAATGAGAAGAAAATATCAAAGTTAAACCTTCCTAAAAAGTTGACTCTAGATACTAGCTTCATGAAGCTAAGTGCAAGGCCTTCAGGGAATCAAACCAATTTAGAAGCGAGTTTGGAGAACGTCCGGAAAAACAGTCCAGATATCACAGAGCTCAACCTGAACAACATTGAAAACATCCCAAAGGAAATGCTGATAGATTTTGTCGATGCCATGAAGAAAAACAAGCATGTCAAAACATTTAGCTTAGCCAACGTGGGTGCGGACGACACCGTTGCGTTTGCTCTGGCCAACATGTTGCGTGAAAACAGGAGCATCACGACCCTAAATATTGATTCTAACTTTCTCACGGGCAAAGGCATCGTTGCCATCATGCGATGCCTGCAGTTTAATGAGAGGCTGACTGAGCTGCGTTTTCACAACCAGAGGAACATGCTGGGCCATCAAGCAGAAATGGAGATCGCCAGGCTCTTGAAAGCCAACCCTACCCTGCTGAAGATAGGCTATCACTTTGAAGTTCCCGGCCCCAGGATGGTTGTGACCAACCTGCTCAGTAGAAATCTTGACAAACAAAGACAAAAAAGACAAGAGGAGCAGAAACAGCAGCAATTAAAAGAGCAGAGGGAGTTGATCAGCATGTTAGAGAATGGATTTGGGCTGCCTCCTGGGATGTGGGAAATGCTAGGAGGGCCAATCCCTGATCCGAGGATCCATGAGCCAATATGTGCCCCCAAACCACCTGTTCCCCAACCCATGCCTATTAGCAAAAGAAAGGAAGAAAGACACACAAGAAAGCCAGCCCCTGAACCACAGAAGGAAACGTCCTCCTTCCGAGTCATTAAGCTGAAGAAGATCCAGCGCAAACCCTCTGTGAAGCCATATGTGGAGCCCCCTGAAAAAACCAATCTCAAAGACGTGATCAAGACGCTTAAACCAGTTCCGAGAAGCAGACCGCCTCCTCTGGTGGAAGTAAGCCCGAGAGATCAGCTGTTAAATGACATCCGTCAGAGTAACGTCGCTTATCTTAAACCGGTGAGTGCTTATCGATGGTAGCAACCAGGAAATGTTTTAATCTGTGCAGCACAATGCAACTGGAGTCTCTCCGTGCTGGTGCTATGAAATGCACTGACAAAAACCACAGGCACGTTCCTTTGCAAACTGATGCTTGCATGCAAGCTGACATTTTGTGAGCAACTTAGCAGTAGCCCCTATTTTCCTACATGCAAAAGTGGAGGATTTTTCATAGGCAAATTAATGCACCTCCAAAGTTTGTGAGTGTGTTTGTCAATGCTGCTGAATATTTGACCTCCTTGCTTCATGAACAGATTTATCATTAGCATTTTAAAATGAAGTACATGTATATCTTATGGAAGCGTTGATAAAGTGTGTGCAGTTTATCTGATGGGCCGTAATGAGCTGCTCAGTGAAATTCGCCCTGTGAAGTTGTGTATCAGTGATAACCAGAGAGAGTTTTACTTCAAATGTTACAAACCCTAAATGCAACCTGGCATCTTTCTGCAAAGGATGCTAATCCTGGGTTTTCCTTGAGTGGTGATGGTAAGAACCAAACCATTATTTGCATAATCAGACCATTTATAAACTCGTGTAAATTGGAGTTAGTGAAATAGCGCCCCAATGCTGAGCCTGAAAGGGCACAGCCCCTTTATCGGCACTGTGATGAAGGTGAGAGGCTGACTTCATTCAGCAGATGTTAGTCTATATTTATAACTATATATATAGTTATACATATATAAATATGTAGTTTCTTTCAGGGAGAAGACATCTGCAGGAATAATTTATTGCTAATCCCCTGAACGTTATGCAGAATCCTTACACATTTATACCCAAAATTACTTACTAAAAAGTGCTGACTTATTAGAGTGCTGACACACCAATACGCATTGGACTCTGTTCTGTTCCTGTTTAAATCAGCATCAAAATTTGTGGCAGCAATGGGACTGTTATTGAGGCCTATTATTTTTTTTAACTGCATAGATTTAATTGCATAGACCTTGGCTTTTGTGTGTCCAACTCAAGGTACTTTTAAGAAGCTTGGTTTTCGGGTAGCTATGAATACTGCAGGCTGGGCGATGATGTGAACCTTAATTCTGGACCACCCTTTTTAGATGTCTCCAATGGGCACCCAAAATTCCTACTCGCTTTTCTGACTCGTGACTCCTGTGTTTAACATTTCTTTCTCCCAGGGCCCAATACTGGCAGACCGTCCTCATATATGCATGTTGGCCTATTGCAGTCACTTAAATTCTTCATGCGATTGGCGATTAAGGGATAAGAGAGCCTGAAAGAAATGGCCAAACTGCTGTTTCAGAAGAGTCTCAGAAGAGTTGGCACCAGCTTAATGAACCACCTGAAGTATTTCAGTGGATATACTGAAAATTCAACATCCTTGGCCAAATTTTGCTCTCATCTACATGCACGCAAACTCATTTAATCGAATGTAATTATTCAGGTGTAACTGAGAATTTGGCTTGATATTTTTTAGACGTTCACATCTTTGTGTGCCATTGTCTGCATGGACTTTTGTTGCTTGTTGTACCAGTGTCTTCCCACCCGCACCGCTTGGGGAGAGCATTTTTTGATGGCTCTGTCCCCAGCTGGTGGAGCTCCAGTGCCAGCTCTCAAGAGTACTGGACTTCAGCAATCGGCAGGATATATTTCCAGGCAAATCCCCACCTCTCAGTAACAAGGCGGATTGAGGACAAGCCGGTGAAGACCAGAGCTACATCTTTATGAGGCCTTCATGGCTCAGAGATTTTCAGTTGGACCAAGGCAATTAGACTGCACCTGTTAATCACCCAAGTCAACCAAGAGTGCTTGAATTTAATTATGTCTTCCTCCATGATACATGAGTAGTTGCCCTAGGTAAAAAGTCAAATGATATACTTTACAGCCAACAGCAAGCTTGTTTATTGAGGCAGCTGGGCCAGGGGCCTGCTCAGAAAAACAAAAAAAGAATTGCAACACTTCAAAAGCCGATGGTGCCCTGCTGTTCCTCTGTACAAATGACCCAAGCAAGGTTAGAAGCTCTTGCATCTCATTGTCTGTTGACTTCTGTTTCCAAGCAGCAAGATTTCCAGGAGGACGCCTGTCGTTCAGTGTAGAAGCTCACAGCCCACAGTCCAGCACCCAGGGGCTGGTCCTTGCAAACGCATCAGGTTCCCACTGTGGTTGCCAGTAAACGAGCAGGAACTAACGGCCCATCTAAAATGAGGGCTGAAACCAAGGATAAGGACCAAGCAAACAGAAAGCAAGAGCAGACTCGGATTGAAATATTTTATTTATATATTATAATATTTATATATATTTATATATATATATATATGTGTGTGTGTGTGTGTGTGTGTTTACAGATATATTACACATGTATGTATGTGCATATATGTGTGTGCATATATATCTATATGTATACATATATGTATACATATATATGCACACACGTGTGCATATGTATATACGTGTATATGTATACATATATGTGCGTATGTATGTGTATATGTATACATGTGTTTGTGCATATGTATATATGTGTATATCTATACATATGTACGTGTTTATGTGCATATGTATATATGTGTATATCTATACATATATGTATATATAGTTTCATAGTTTTAGGGTCGGAAGGGACCTAATAGATCTTCTAGCCCGACCCCCCGCCAGGGCGGGAGAACAACAAAAGAACCCTAAACAAAAAACGGGACTCAAATGAGTCCAGCCAGGTAGGTATCCAGCCTCTTCTTAAAGATCCCCAGGGTAGGGGCCAGCACCACCTCCCTTGGAAGTTGGTTCCAGCTCCTAGCTGCCCTAACTGTGAAGTAGTTTTTTCGGATACATATATGTATATATGTGTGTGTGTGTGCATATGTATATACGTGTATATGTATACATATGTGTGTGTGTGTGCGTGTATGTTCATTCCTCTTATCCCAGAAAGGCTCTGACCTAACTAAAGTAACCCTAATGGATTTATTACTGGGTTCGGGTTTTAGGCATCCAGGTCTATTCCCTGCTCTGCCACACGCTCACTTTGTGGCCTTGGTAACACACGTAACTTCTGTCTCTGCCTGTTTCCCTATGCTTTTTGCATTTTACAGTGCCTTGAGATCTGTGGGTAAATGCTGTATGTGGGATACATATCATTATTGCTTGCTAGTTGATTTATCAAGTATTAACCCTCAGCTGGGTGCATTTTAAGAGGGGCACAATCATGTCTCAGGAGACAGAAAATGGCTTGCCCATTATATACATAATTATATATATATATATATATATTTTTTTTTTTTTTCCTTAGGGCTTCCTGTTCACTTTTATACTTTGATGAGCCTGTTTGATTATAAGAAGTGAAACTATTTTTGGAGATAAAAGGGAGAAAGCCACATTTCCTACTAGTAACTTCATCTTCTTGTTCCTGTCCAGGTGCCCCTGCCAAAGCAGCTCGAGTAAGAGACCAGAATGATGTGAAGAAAACAACCTGAAATAAGGACTATTCAAGTTTTGCCTTTAATGGTTTCAAAGGAGGTTTTCTTCAGAAGCCAGGTGGTAGATAACGAACACGTGGGAACAATGCTTGCAAAGTGCAGTTCGTTTAAGCAATGAAGGAAGAGGCTGGAATGGAAACAGTCAAAACTAAGAGGATTTCCACTGGATATCGAGTAACAATGAGGCCCTCATACAATCTCTATCTGCCAGCTGGACTTTGGCTTCCAGTTTGTTCATGGGTATTTTCTTAGAAGCAACAATAGCCTTACAGCCTGTACAGTTTAGCTCTATTGCTTCTATGGTATCTTCTGCTATTATTTTTTCCAGAAACCCAGCAGCCTATAACAAATGGTCCTCTTCTACACATACAATTTGCTTTCTTTACACTGCTCTTTGCCACGGCTAGTCATTTTTTTTTAAGTTCTAGAGAAGCGAGTAGAGGTCCTCTCCATGAGAAAGCACGCTGAAGCATTCACTTCCACACCAAATGGCAGCTGTCCTGAGGACAGGTTATCTGCCATCTCTGTAGAAAAGCAAGAGCTTAAAAAGCACGCAAAAAAAGATCTGATGGTTTCAAACTCCACCTATCCCAGGATAACTGAATAACTGAATAACTATTCTCCAACCATTTGGGTTGGTCTAATAAAAGATATCAAATTCACCCAAGGAACCTTGTCTACATCCCAGAATGCATTTGGACAAGTAGTCTATCTTGGGCAACAGTTAAAATACTTTTGGGGAACGATACAATCCTTTTTCCTCCTCCTCCGGGTTTTTCTCTGTCCTTGTTACCATCGATTCACTTCTCAGCCCCCCCGTGCTTGAGGCTGCATATTGCGGTCACCTGCCAAACGAGACCAGGAAAGACCCATTGCAGAAGTCCCTCAGCTCTGCTCCATATAGGACGAATGCTTGAGTCTCGCCAGGCGTTTTCATTTGGGGTTTAGCAGACTGCCGATGCAAAACAGGTAGTCCCTTCTAGCTGGGAGAGGGAACAGCACTGTCCTCTTGCATGGCATCGCAGAGCCCAGCTTTGCACAACTTGATGGTTTTTAAGTAGTTCCTGGAAATAGTTACCCTCCCCATCCTTTTACACAAGCGGAGATGAAACCTTGCTTCGAGCCCTGGTTGTCGAGCACTGACAAAACGTGCCGAAAAAGGGAGATTTCCCATGCCAGGCCCTCCTTGGTTGATCTGTCACTGATCTTTCCCCCACATTCCTCCTTTTTGCTAACAGGTGCATTTTTATATCCCAATCTTTTTGTCTGTACACCTTCAGCGAGCTCTTTCCTTTCCAAGGACACAGGTCTTGTTGGTTATTCTCACAGCTACAAGTCTATTTTCCCCCTTTTTTGTTCTGCTGGATGCCGTTTCCTCCCCGCACGCTTAAAACTCGCCTTCCGCCGCTCTTGAATACTTGCAACTAGCCTATATCCTCTCCTGTCCTTGGGGATCTTCTTCTGTTGTTCCACGTTCCCTTTCCTGTATTTGCCAACATCCTGCATTTCTTCCCACCCTACCTAATCTTTCTCCCGAGCTGATCGCATTTCTTTTGCTCTCCCCCTGCTCTTAGCTTCCTATTACGCTGCCCCTGTACCCCACCCTCTGCCATGCATCAAAGCTCTTCACCTCCAAGTCTGTCCCGGAGGTGCTCCCTTCCAACCTCACTCGACTCTCCCATGTACTTCAAGTGGAACAGCCTGATTGCAAACTTTGTAGGGGCGAGGGGAGGGATCTTCCCATTTGTCAGATGTTGTATACATTTACAGAATGATACACGACTTAATCGGGATATTTAAGATGGTGCCTGTGGAAACTCTCTGTGTAAAAGTAGCTTTATTGCATCTCTCTTCAGAATGTAAAAATAACGGGGGGAAAAAAAAAGTGAACTGGGCGGTGTACTTGTATTGTCTCTTTGTCCAGTTTTTCTAAATAATGGATACAGGTGTAGACTCCTCAGACTAATTGTGCCCCAGCCAACTGATTGAGAAGGACCCAAGATGGTGCCATGTTTTCCTTGACCATTCATCAGCCAGGACTGGTCTAGGACTCGGTGGCAGTCTCAAGGCAGAGGTATGCTCATCATAAGTCCAGTTCTGTAGAAACTCCTTCTCCCTGGCAGCTAAGGAGTTGTTACCATAACCCTCTGTCCCTGGCGTTTCTCTAGGAGGGAAGCCTCCTGGGGACTGCTATTATTTTACCATTTTCTGATGTCTACTACTTGTAGGATAAGTGGAAAAAAGGTGTTGGGGGAAGTGGGTAAAAAGAAAGCAAACAGAGCTTTGTCCTGCATTGTGAAATGCTCTGGGAAGGGACAGCAACCCTTGATCTTTCCATTCAGAGGTTAGAAGGAAAAGTCACCGACTGCTTCTGTTGTAGTCTAATGAAGGGCCACATGCTCTTATAGTTTTGAATCTGTCACCTGGATCTGGACCAGACTGGCAACATAAATGAAAATGGCCCGTTTCACGCTTCATTTAGCCACTTCTCAAGCATCAATGAGGAACTTGCAACAGGATCTAATAAGGCTTCAAGAAAGGAGTATGGCCAGGAGGTAGGTTTCAATACAGGGAGGCAGGGTAGATAATAGCTGCTGTTCTGCAGAAGGCAGCATCTAAGGTAGCTTGGGCGCCAGAAGTTTTATGCCACACTCATTCAGAAAGCATGGAGAAGCAGGCAAGCCCCGTTATACCCCATTCTGCCTACGTGCTATTTTGTCTTGAAGCAGTGATCCTAGCAGCGTATCCCTCACTGGCCAGGTCCCCACAGCATGAGCAACTATTAAATGCCCTTTGGGTTTCTATAATTACTGCTGCCATGGTCATGCCACTCCTAGGAGAAGTTCTGGATAGTGGGTTTAGGGTGCTTCTGCTCTACCCCCACTTCAAAATGTTAGCGTATTTTAAATTAAAATAAGATGCACTTGCAGTTTCACTTGTTAAACTTTATTCTTCACAACTGTGGTTTTTTTTTTTTAAATGCTACAATTTAACCATGATGGCAGAAGCTAGCATTTCTTCTGTAATGCACGTATGGAAATACTCATCAAAACTAAAGACAAAAGAATAAGGAGCAGGCCCTTGCTTCTTATCCTGGAATATACAGAGACATGCTTAGAATAAATACTGATCATTTCATAATGTTTGCATGGAATGAGGTGGTTCAGGCTTCTAGAACAAATAGGTGCAAGGGTTATATACACTTTCTGAAGGCTTTGGAGGGGGAAAGTCTACTTTATCCACAATGTAGGGTGGAAAAACAATTACAGCTCCATACTTCACACAGAGGTGATACACACAAGAGGGATAGCCCCACACCCCTATGCCATGTTAAACTGGACAACATGTTTTCCTGGCATGAAGTTTAGACAATTCCTGAACTTACGATGGCACTCAGAACTGGCATTTCAAGCTAAAAGTTTACTGGAAAAAAACCAAAACACTGTGAAGTGGTGCACGCAGTTTCTTGCAAAAATTTGGAATGGGTTCTAGAAGTGTGCGCATCTATTGATTTATTGCTTTTATTCGTAAACCTGAAGTTGAGCCTCCTTTCCCTTGAGCAGTGCCAGAAGTGAACAAGTTAATTAGTAAGAGCTGTATTTTAGCTTGCGTTGTTGTTTCTCCGCTCTCGAGCGGAATGAGGCAAGAGATATTTTCAGAACGCCAAATAGGGCAGAATCCTCGCTATAAGCAAGATTTTATTAAACTGCAAAATCCTGGCTCTGCTGAAGTGAACAGCCCAACTTCCAGAGAGTCCACTAGAACAAGGGCCTTGCTGAGATATGAGGCTGACATGCCTCTCCTACATGCGCTTTGTGGAATTTGCATTGTTCCATTCAGATGTGCCCACGACACGGGGTATAGTCTGACATGTTAACGATAGTTCAAAATCTAAATGGGTATTTAAAAAAAAAAAAAGGAAAAAGAAAAAGAAATATTAAATCAGAATGCAAACAGAAGAAGGGGAATTTAAATTGGTTACAAAATGAGCACGGTTACCAGCGTAAGCTTGCTCTTTCCATTTGTCCCGTCAGGTGGAAAGGTGGCCTAGCTCAGAGAAAACTTTTAAAAAAGTAACAGTGCATTTACAATTAGCTGGAAGTTCTCTCAGGTCTCGACTTTGCCAAGTGATGTAGTGTGACATTAGCCAACCAATACTGTATTAAAGTACAGGCCACTCCCCTCCTCTCTCTCTCCAGTAAAGTAGATTATAAAAACACTTATACAAAACACTTGACTACTAAAGACAGCTTTAGGGAGTGTGTTCCAGGTATCCCCCACCTCCAAGAAAAAGAACAAACGAAACAAAACAGGCAAATGCTTGAAAAACAGTGCGTGTACGTGTGCAAACACTGGGACGCTTTACCATTAATAGAAAGGTTAAATCGCTCCTCCATATTCTCAGGGGAGCCCTGAACAGCTTTGAATACCTGCATCTTGCCACTGGTAAATCTGTGCAGTGTGCGCATCTCACTTCACACACACACGAACTGAAAGCAAGCTTGAAGGAAAAAAAAAAAAGCAAAAAGAGCAACTCAATTCCTGCAACAGGTAACACCACCACCTCATACGCCCTTTATTCCTTTACTTTAGAAAGGTAGTCAGCCAGTTTGTTGATGCTCTCTTCTTGCTGTTCAAGAGCATCAAGTATTATGCCCATTGGGGTCTTCTTCAAGCCTATTCCTTCCATTTTATTCTCCAGTTTGTTCTTTATGTTCCGGAGCCTCAGGGAAGCGTGGATAAAAGTCACTAGAACAGGACAGAAAACCAAAAGTTTGTTACACTGGCATTCCCTAAATATCTAGCTCTTCACCCGTGCACTTCAAGTAGTCTTCCATGACATCTAAGATTAGGTCATAAGTAATCATGCAAGTTGCTTTCAATACAAAATCATTAGATAATGGGTTTCTTCCTGGGCAGTGAAGAAACTGATGCACAGGGTATGGCTTAGGAGAGTTTAAAAGCCTCTTTTTATATTAAAAAGCAAATTTGCGAGCCATATTTCAGACTGCAGAGAAGTAAATCAATCTTCACTGCTTAAAAAAAAAATGCAAAGTATTACTTACACAGCAGAGGAAGTGTGATCCCAAATATGAACACCATGACATCTCCAACACAGGAGATCAGGAAGTAGCTAGACAACATGATAGCTGCCACGAACGCAGTTGGGTACTGCCTCTTAAACCTGCCAAGTATATCCTTGTTGTGCGATGCCCACACAAACCCCATGAACACCAGCACCACCACGGTACCGCCAAGCAGCATGTTGAGTGGACTCAGAAATCTAGGGGAAAGGAAGAAAAAAAGAAAAAAGAAAAAAAAAAAAAAAAAGCATTTAGCAGAACTTTTAACTTTGCAATGCTAGATTTGCAATTGGAGATAAGTCTATGCATTAGTCACAGGGCACATTCCTCAGGGCCTGAAACCCCAATATCAGCTTGGATTTGTATGCGATGCTTTGTTAGCAACACCGAGTCCTGGTAAGCTCTTAATTTGGCCTTAAGAGTGCATGGGTGCAGGCACACTGTTCCCTCCCAAACCCTTTTGGGGATGGGAAGAAATGTTCACCAAAGCCAGGAATTCTTGTATCTTGATTGGATCCATCTCATCAGTACATCTACAACCTACTTCACCCATGCTTTTGCAGTCCCGGGCCTTTGCCGAGCGGCACTCAGCTCCCTTGTCAGCGTGTATGACGGCGCCACTCGAGACTAGTTTATTCCATCTGTGGACTACAACGGGGTCTGAACCCACGTCTTAAGGTGACAAGTGAGTGACTACCTACTGTCATGCCTACAACCCCAGGTAAGACTCAAAGCATTAAGACTTCATTCAGTCTTCCCCTACACATAGGAATAAAACTCTGTTGAATTTCAAACATCACGGGTTTGCAATGTAGCGCTCTCCTCCCTCTATTCATGTCAAGGTCAATATTTGGGCATACGTAGTGATTCATCCAGACACGAATGCCATTTTCCTTTCCTTCCCATTTGATTGCTTCCTACTTTCCGGAGCAGAGAATGCAGTTACACAGCTTTCGGTCAAGGTCATGGTAAAAGATAAAGACGCATCGGACACCCCAGCCAAACCAGTACTGCTCCCTTTTCGTGGGGGAAGGGATGGAGTTTCCACCATTATTCCCCGATTTTCATTACTCCAAGCCTAGTAGTTCTGGGCGTCTTACAGACAGCGTCTTGTTGCTACTACTTAACCCCATTTTATGAGCCTTTAATTCCTTTTCCTCCTTGTAGTTTAAAGCTATAAACAGGATGGAAAGCTTCCAGGACCCAGTATAACATATGGGGAACTTAATACCATCAGCATGACTTCAGATTTCAAAGTGCACAAGGAAGCACATCTCAGGATCACAAAGACTTTAGGTTTAGGACTTCTCTACAGGATTTCTGTTCTAGGAAGTGAGCCCGGGTGAGGGGTTTACCCTACTACCGAGTTACCAATAAACCAATTCTTAGGCTGGGAGAATTTGGACTAGGCAAATTGTTTTGGTCCTGTCAATATTTATCCATGAGTTTGCTTCACCTGCTAATATTTTTCCTATTACAAAACACCTGGGATACTGTTGTATTCATGCTAGAGCAGGGACAGAAAGCAAGCGATTAATGCTAAGTTTGTCACACAACCAGTGCTGGTCTTTCTGAGATTTCTCCTATTGTCTGCAAGGCCACGATGATCTCTTTGCTGCCAAGTGGACAGAAATTTTCCTCTGCTGTTGCTGCGGTTTTTCAGGCTGCGATTTCTCAGAACCGGATTCAGCTATCGAGTTAGAGAAAAAAAAAAAAAAAAGTGCGCGCTGCTCACCAGAAAACAGGCTGCAAGCAAGACCAGCAAAACACAGAAGTTGGCTTCATACTTGGTGCCTAGCTGTTGCATTGGCATCATGCAAATCCATAACTCAAAACCATTCAAAAAGGGGGGGTAAAAAAAAAAAGAGACAGGGAGAAGCCAAGAATGGCTTCAACGGTCTCTAGTTCCTTGCATTTGTCAGCTATGCAGATAGAGGAGTAGACAACTGGATTTAGGAAAAAAAGTGAAAATCCAGTGGAGCTCCCCACCTGCTCTTGTTATTCACGATGAGATCCAGCGTGGCACACTGGAAACTCTGAGAGGTCAGGCCAGCCTGCAGCTAGCTACCACTCGAGTCATTGCAACCAGAGAGGCTATATTTAGTTTTGAACTGCCAATCTTAAGTTTCCAGGCTGGAAAAAGTGAACAGCGTTACTCTGGCAGAAAGCTTGTGCTTGTGCTCCACTGCAGCAGCAGCAGGAAGCTATTAAACCAAGCTACCACTATTAGTTTCTGGGGAGTCTGTGGGGTTTTTTGTATAAAAGTCTCATAGGCACTCTGCAATCTGAAGTCAAAATACTCCTTTCCTCTCTAAGGGGAGAGTCCTGGTAGTAGGTAACCGTTTGCAAGTCAGCCAGGCCACTTTCAAAAAGGAGGGAGAGAACGGATCTGGAATTAGCTTTACTACATGCTCGTTATGCCATTTCTACAACATTCGGGCTTGAAATGATTGCCTCCAAAGTATTAGTGGAAGGGATACTCCTCCAGATTTTAAAGAGGAGGAGGGGGGGGGGGGAAAAAAAAAAAAAAAAAAAAAAAAACAACCCCAAGAAGGAAAACCTTTTTCATTTGTTATCCTAGGGTTTGTGCACCTGATGTGCCAGAGAAGCAAGGAAAAGCAGTTGTTTCAACTTCCTTGATGAAAGAGTTAATTGTAAAACATGTTTTCTGAAGTGGGCTGAATTCCAATGAATACAAAGAAATAGTGAGCAATGAGATCATTCAGAGCCACATGAAAGCAGATTGGGACAGCAGTTGCTACTAAAGCAAGTTGGTATTCAGATCATGCACCACGCGCTCGGGCCGATCCTGCCGAATACCATCTTGGATGATCTGCTCCGTGCCATCTCCCCCACTTGTACGCGACTGAAAGCCGCTGCATTATTCAGTAGCTCTGTCAGCCCCCACGCGTGCAATGCAGCAGGCAGCGTTGTGGCAAGAGCACTTGATTTCTTGTGAGACTAGCAGAACATTTGAATGCTGAATTTCATGAAGGCAAAGTGTTACTGATGGATTTTAATCATATTTGTGAGCATGCTTCTCTTTTCAGATACCCATTCTGCTCCCCTAAATACATGGACAGGGGCAAGTGATCAGGATACCATCACTCCCAGTCAAACTACTGATTTCTAAGCATGCAGTTATCCTAAATCTGGTCTTTTACAGTACACTAGAATAACAGGGGACTCCAGGTACTGGCAATCTATAGGAACAGGTCAGTGGGACTGCCGCCCATTAAGTTAAACCCATGTTCCATAACACAGAGCATGTCTACATGTGCATTAAGGTGCTTAAAGTTAATGCGCATTAAATCTAGTACCTCCACTGGGAGGTACTATGAAAATGTACATTACCCTGTCTTAATGTGCATTAACTAAAGAGCATGGTTAAAAGGATGCTGAATGTGTGTTAGTCTATTTTAACATGCATGAATTAAATAGCACTTTTTAGTGATGCTTTAATGTGCATTAAAATAGATTATGTGCATTAAAGTGCACATGTAGACGCATCCACAGCATCTAAGTTCAATTTGGGATCTTGGCACCTGTCACTCATTCACACAATTACCAAAAGACTTCTAGTACCAGATGATTGCCTGCTCATCCAGTAGAATTGTTCTCCATCTTTCTGTTGCAAAGCTGGTTTTCCAAAAGACCGGATTTGGCTTTATTTCAATCAGGGTCAGCCTAGCACAAGTGCCACAAACAGATCAAAGGAGGGACTTGCAGCACAGCAGCAGACAGGGCAGGGAAATAAATGGCAGCAGAGCAGGAGATCAGGCAGGGAGCACCAAGTGAGGAGCAGAAAGCAGAGCAGCAGATTGGATGGAAGAAGGGGGTCAGAATGGCATTCGGGGAAGGAACGAGACTAATTTGTGGCATGGCTACCAAACCCGATTTAGATCATTGCAAGTCTGACTGGGAACATTTCACTGATATTAGAGACACTCAAAATAAAATCGGGATGTGACAAAGCAGCCAGGCCATAAATACAGAGGAGTGGAAATGGGCTGGGGGAGAAAAGCACGACATACAATTCAAACATGCTACCCAGACTTTTGAGCATGGCTGAAGGCAGGCTGTAGACTAGGGTCATAATAACATTTGCTTCCTATTTAAGCAAGCAAGGAGGAACTAGCATATCAGGCCCAAAAAACCCTGAAGTTCCAGCATTTGAGGTGGGGGGGGGGGGGCCGGCGAAAAGAACCCAGGAGTTCTCAGTGGTGGGGGGGGGGGGGGGGGGGGAGGGGAAAAATAAATAAAAGCATGTGATTTTCTTTTAAACACAATTTAAGTCTCCTAGAGTTTCCTTTCCAGCCAATACTGCCATGGCCTTGTCCCTATCAGCGAGACAGAGATAAGACCTGCCAGCCACCTCCTGCGAAGCACAAATTGAAGTCTTACAAAACTGCACAGATAAAAAGGTAAGCGATGATCTGTTAGGAGATACACCGTCTAAATATAGTTCCTTTTTGGAGGGGTCTTAGACATCTCAAGCGCTTCATCATTTATATAGACACCTAGTGGCATAGCAGCCTTCTGGTAATTTGAGTTCTAGGTTGCTCAGACAACTCGAAAAACAGAAACTTGGGAGGAAGGTGACAAGTTCTCATTACCCTGACAGATGTGTGTGTGGCAGGAATAACAGCATCAAGAAGAGGTGTGAAGAGCCCAGAGTCAACAGCACGCTAATTGGATGCTGTATTGCACTGCCCTCCGGGATTCGGGCAGAGCACATAGGTGGGATGGTGCCAAGTCCAGCGGAGAAAGGGATGGGGTAGTTCTGCAAGGAAGAGTCACCGATAGACGGACCATCGCTGCCGTCTCATGGTGACAAGAATGCCTGCCTCCCTTCTGTGAGATTGTTTGCTTCCATTCGAGGTACGGCAAAACGAAACACCGACATGGGACCCGACTTTCATGTTGCGCTCATGCCGAAGACCTTGAAAAGGTGGGTTTCCTCTGTTTTTAGGATTGATGCTTGCAGGTCTTTTCATAAGCAGTGGGTTACTTTTTCCATGTGCTTGTGTCTGTGCAAGAGAATCATCCAAGTTTTTAGATACTACCTTGCCATCTTTGCTATGGGTAGGACAGTTTTCATGGGTGTCCAAATGGTAGGAGAAGACGGTCACTGGGAAAAGAGCCACCAGGCCTAACTACTCGAATAGTGGGTCCGTTTCTAAAGGAAGGACAGCGAGTGTCTAGCGACTGTGCCTCTAGG